CAAATATTTTGAGGCTGGTCCAAAGTGCAAATAAACAACTGAAAATCAGGATTTTAATTACTACAGTCACCATATCAATGTGTTACAATTTCTCCCATTTATATTCTACAAGTGGTCCATCTCCTCTCATACCGTCTATGAATATGTCTCTGACATTGTGTGAATTGGTTATAATTTTGAGCGTTGTGTTACAGCGTGTCGCCTGTGGACAGTGTGCATCAGAGGTAACGCTGTAGCATGATGTTCAATTGGTAGATGTTGATGCAAGTCATGTGAAAGGATCTTCTCCTCCTCTGATCTACAACAGGCATCTTCAAACAAGTTCACTTGTTGGAGTGACTTGTTGGATTGCAGTGCCCATGTTTTAAAAAATAACAATGGAAGAACTAGTGAAATAAAAGTATGTATGTTGTTTCTTTAACAACGATTAGGTCTTCCAGAAAGCACACAAACATATTACCATGGGTGCACTATTATTCAGATATCTAGTGCATTGTAGTTTTGTTTTACAAAATGAATTGATGGATGTAATCAATATACATGATTTGTCACAACACCACAGTACATCATAACACATTATGAGGAACTTTCAGCATTACAGCAAACATCTAAACACAAAGAAACTCAGGAATGAAGAGGGGTGATGGTTTGAGAGAGCCCATTCCGACCCCTTTCCTGGATGATTTTACATATTGAATACTAAAAATGTGGCATTATTATATCACCAGGCCTGGTATAATGTCTACAAAAATTCTTATCTTTTCATTGTTCAATAGGAGAGACTGCGGCTTGTTGTCAAGAGCCTAAAATAGTTTTTTTTTTTTTTTAATTTCCACTTTGACAACTGGACAACATGTTCAATGTACTGAATCTTTTCTCCTGTTTTTTTGTAACCAAGACTGTAAGGTATGTCTATAGAGAAATTGCCTTGTAAAAATAAAACATCCTTGAGAAATATTCACTAAAGTTGTGGCAGCTAGTCCCAGTCTCCCCTATTATTATATTAAATAAAGCTCCTAATGCAAGTTTGGGAGGAGCCTGTTTAGTTAATCCGTTAATCACATGGCTAAGATATAAATAGCTGTTTATTTTGCTCTTTTTTTCCAGCGTCCCTCCCCCATATCATCTCCACCTTGATTTCCATAATGAGATCAAGGGGGGAACACAGAGATCGAGTCTCATGCATTAGCCTCTCTATTCAGAACACCACCACCAAACCTGATTATCTTTTTCTACGTCATAGAATATGTGAACTTGTATTTATATTTTCTGAAATGATGCTTAATAATTCAGGTTTTCTCATTGGTATTTCAGAAAGAGAACGAGTGCCCAACTATACAAACTCAGATAAGCATGTAGAGAATTGTTGTTATGAACATACTGTGAGCGGTTAATGGACATGTTAGCATGCTGTGTGATGTTCTCAGGTTAGAGAGGTCATTATCAGGTCCACAGGAGATGTGCTGAGGTCAGTATCACCTCAGTGTCACATGCTTCTCCACTACACTACCTGAGAGCAGAGAGAGAGAAACATGACTCAGATGAATGACGTAAAACCAAAAAGCTACCAAGGTCATATCAGACATCATATCATACATTTAATATAAACCCCTTATGTGAGAAAAATCGATTTTGTTGGAGAAAGAAAGAAGAGAAGCTCCAAACTCTATGTTCTAACTACATTAAGATTTATTTTTGTTACAACAAAGATACATTTTGTACAGTATGAAGATTTTGTATGGCAAAAACATCCTAGATTCTTCAAAATATATATACATATATATATATATATTTGCCCTTCAGAGATAATTATCTCATTCTATCAGCAGGACACCAGAGAAACAATATTAAATGGTAAAATTCCTATTAAGGTTGTTTTATGCTTCAGAGCATGTTTTACAATAACGACATCTTAATTAGCTTTAATATTATGGGTCATTTGCTTATACTCCAAACACTGAGCAGAAATTGGAAAAGGGTTAGCATTTGTACCCTGTGCAACCCAGAACTGATTTTAAATAAGACATGAATGTTACAGTAATACTAATACCATACTGAAATGCAAATCCATGTAAACTGGAATGTAAAGCATCAGCGTGAGCTGATTCTGAAGCAATAATCATTACTGCTGTATTTCACACAGATTATTCCTGCCATGCTTCTCTAGCCCAGATGTAACATTTAACCTGAACCACATGATGTAATCAACATAATATAACAAACAAACACAGCCCTGATGTCACTGCATGCCTCTGCAGCACAGCAATAAGAGTCATAATATTCAGAGAATGCACGTTTTCATCGTGAGAGAGAATGAGAATTGTACAGAGTTAATTCCTTTAAGGAGAAATGCGCAGCCCTTAGACACTAGCATGGTTTACTGGCGGAGATTAGTTACAATCTGATCGTGACCGATTTGATCAAATACGCCAACAGCATGGCTTGATTTGCACTTAAAATAAGGTTAAGACATGCATGGTAGATACAAAGGAAAATTTAATAAATTACAATTAAAAAGAAAGTCCTCCTCTACTGCACGAGTATTTAATCTCTTGCCTCTTACCCCATAGAGCTAATGGATTCACTCTTTGTAGCAGACTCTTGACTCCGACTCTTGGTGAGTGAGTTCAGATTTGCATTTATAGGGGGAAATTAATCCTCACAGATCTTAGACTCTCTTTAGGGTGTTTGGGTAGTTTTTCAGACTTGAGAACCAAAGTACAGTGTCTCAACAACACAACAGGCCACTACATGATTGAAGACTAGAGACCAGTCCATGACAAAATGAGTAAATACCATGAAAATTAGTAAATTCCCCATTTGATACCAAAATCAAAAGAAAAAAATTGTGTATAATGTAAATGAAGCAATTTTTTAGAAATTGTTTATCATGATATTAAAATAAAATATCAATTCATGTAATTAAATATAAATCTTACATTTAATTTGAAATATTATCCAATATTAATATTCATTTTTGCATTACAAGATTGAATTAATAACCGTATTACAGTAAAATACAATTATTAATTGTATACAAATTGATATTGCATTACAGTAAAAATTAAAAATTTAATTAAGTACAATAAAAACTGAATTTTAACAAATTGTAAAAAAAAAAAATACCTTTCTTGCATTAGAGCACTGAGAATTGAACATAAAATGATAACATAAAAATACAAAACATGAACATAAGCACATATTTTATTTATGCAAAATATTATTTATTTTTTTCCTTTTGAATTTGGAGTAAAATAAATACTGAACATGTTCAGGACAGATTCTGTGAGATTCACCCAAACATGTTATTGCGCACACACACACACACACACACACACACACACACACACACACACACACACAGCATATTAGTGTGTGTTGGTGCATGTAAGTGTTTGAATACAAATCTTGACATGTACAGTACGGAAATTTGGGGAACAGTGAGTATTTTTGAAGTCCTTAACACTGATAGTGAAGTTCAAACGGAGCTGTGCAGTTCTAACACACTCCAGGGTTTGGAAGAACAAATACATCTGTCTGCTCACAGAGGTCCTTCTAAGGGTCGTTCTTTAAAAACAGCCCTAATTAAACGTATTTCAGATGTACTCAGCAGACGGCATGGTCATTATCCACTGACTGAAACATCCTCACTGAAATAATTTCTTCACATGGAAATGACTACTACTGTAAAGCACAAAGACAACATTTGTAAAATTGCTGTAAAATATTATTTATGATAATAAAATATTTTCTATACGTATTTTCGCTCGTTCTCTCTTGCTGTCAATTTATGCATTTCTCTTTGTTTGCACACATTAAAGATACTTATGAAAGCACATTAGCTTTAAAGTCAGCGTGAAAACAACTGGCCCAATTTAATGCAATTCAAAAGATCTAAAATTGTCCATAGTACTATTTAAAACAGTCTATTTGATAAGGACCAATAGCTATTTACACATTGCTTTAGCAAAATTGCTTTCATTTCTAGCTCCATTATGATAAGTAATGTCCACTTTACATCATCCAATCCAACTCCAAATGAACAAAATTAAATCCCGCCGTATATTTCATCTCATTAAATATTAAATTTCACCAAAAAATATACCACATTACAAGATGCAAATGACAATTCATGCTGACTTTAAGCAGAGAGAAAGACTCAGCTTGTTACATTTTGAACTATGCAATTATCTACACTTTGAAGAGTGTGTAATGTTACATAACAATTAATCAACATTCATTAATAGCAGAGTGACCTGTGTTGAGAAAAACACACACATGCACATCAAGGACCTGTGTAACGTGTGATGGCAGTAAGTAATTTCAGTATGACTCACAGAAAGGGCAGGTCACGCATGACCTCTGCCATACCATCTACTAAAATAACATATCACAGAGAAGAGACAGAGAGAGAGACTGCAATCATAGCAAAATTGATATATAACTGAAAAAAATAAATAAATACTGAGTGCACCCTTCATTACTTGCATTACAACATTTCTCATTGCTTCTATGTTGAAATGGCAATATGGCAGTTTTTATTTGTATGGTAATGCAAATTTGCAGTTTTATCTTGCCAATAAAGCACACTAAAATTTAAATAGAGAGAGATTTTTGTGAAGGGATTATGAATGATTAATCTGATGCTGATAAAGGTACGCAGCAGAGATAAAGCTCTTTAAAGTGTAATCTCCCTACCAGTGAAACACACACGTCTTACCTCTCTCTAATAAAGGAGAAACTCCAGGCTAGAAGATCACTGATCTAATTAACCACATAGAGTAGCTTGAGCTGTTAGTAAGAAGATAGAAGTAGACAGACACAAGAAGAAAGACAAGAAAAAATGAGACAAGGTGGAGAGATCAGGACAAGAAAGATCAGAGGGACAAAATGAATGAGAAGATGAAAATCTACACAGATGGAGGGACGAGGGAGAGAGAGAGAGAGCAATGGTCAGGCTGTATCCTGGCCGCTGGTCAGAGACATGTGTCACCATCAGTGTTCAGACAAACTCATAAATAAAGCAGCGACAGGATTCACCATCAAGCACACACCTGGAGCACTCACACGATTTCATTTCCACACACACACGCGTGCTCCAAATACAGCATAACTACTATACAAACACATGATATTGTAGGAGTTGATAGGAATGCTGGTTATCCACATTGGGATTGGTCCAAACTATGGTAAAACTTTAAATACCACTGTGTTTTCTGTGAGAAATGTTGCCTTCCCACGATTCTACTCTGAGCGGTGTTGTCATCTCATGTCCCACTCAATACCAACTTGAGCAAAGCAATAGAGAAAAGCAACCATTGGAACGGCCACAGAAGACCAGCCTGTTGAAGAAATAGAGAAGAGAGTTTTTGAATGGTACAATACAAAGATGCGTAGAAAGCAAAACCTTTAAGGTTTCACAAACCTAATGTCACAGTAACGGTTCCCATTTTATAAATCGGACATAACTCACAATTCTTTGAGTGTGTCAGCTGTGAACTCAGTAATGGCTCTTAACCATTCACTTTTTGTGTGTGTCTGATCCCAAGGGCTAATTTAAGTGGAAATCCAGTGCCACTTTGACTCATTAAAAAGATCCATTTATGAGTTGTTTGTTCACAGATCAGACATTACAGCTCACGCTACGTTCGTTCGTCAGTACAGAAAATTTATGTTGATATGATATTATCTTGATAGGTTTACTTGACAAATTTTTGCCAATCCAAATGAATCCAATACGATTTCAGATTCTGAATTGAACCCTAAACGTTGCATCTGCCTTGATGACAAATATAAAATAGAAAGATTAAAAATATATTTCTAAACAGTCTTTTAAAAAAGACATTTTATGTCTCCACTGACCAATTCGTACACATACACATGTAAAATATATGTAAACATATGCATCACGGCACTGTGCATGAGCGCAAGGCATTTTTGAAGCTGATTTCGAAAAGAATCGGATTCGAGAGTTTACATGTTTTTTTTTCCTATTTATCCGATTACTTCAGGTCAAAACCATCACTTTCAACTATCAAAATTTCATTCGGATCGAGTTCATTTGGATTGTTTGAAATGTTTACATAAAGGCTTTTCAGTTCGATAATTAACAGATTATTTGGTTGCATGTAAACTTTGCTATGACTGGCGCACTCTCTGATGTCAGATGAAATCGCATATGGATGGACACAAAGCACTAGTGACTGTTTTTGGCCACATTTGTGATCATTTTAATCGCAGTCTGGAGACCTGCAATTTCAACACTTAAACACACAAAACACACTGAAGCCTGGTGCTTTCCTGTACAGAATCACTAGCTGTGCTTACTAGAAGTTCCTGCAGTATCCAGTGATAATTTCCCCCATGTGAGCTCTGTTTTATAACCTCACACAGATTAACAGATATCACGTGAAATCTTATTAGACTACAGGGGTGTATTCACTCATTAGCTCATTTACATTCTCTTTTGCCCCCTGCAGTCAGTAAATGAACAATTGTGTAGTGGTGCCGTCACAATGTGGCACAAGTTCTCTTTTTAAAACTTTTACACTCACCGTCCCCTGGTGGTAAAATAACCTCCCAACCTTCACCTAAACAGCAGGATCCATCATAATCCTCAAAACGCCTCTAGACACACCTTTTCCCAGAGCACTTATTGTTATATTTTTTATTTTATCTCCACATTATTATCAGTCAATGTTATATATGCAGTACATGAGGAAATGCTCATAATCACAGTTCCCCCTCAACATGTGCACTAATAGCCCCACCAGACAGGTGTGTATGTGTTTATCTCTGGTGGGTTCATTAAAAGGACCTGCCTTATTGCATCAGGAACAAGAAAAGAAGGATGGAGCAGGAAGAAAATGAGAATAAATGAAAGAAGGGAGGGTGCTGATTACATTTGGTTACACCTCATTGTCCTTCAGGTGCTGGAGTCACAGCTTCAGCCACTTAATACATTTCGTCATGCCAACAACAGACACAAAACACTGCAATGTAACAGATAGGCTACAAAAACCGCAGACGGAAAAAAAGCTCAGAGGCGGTGTGTGTGTTATGTCTTATTTTGACTGTACAAGACTACAGATCTGTGCGAATGTTTTCTGAACTTTGTCCTCATCCAGCAACACACAAATCCTCTCAACATGACTCAACTTGCGTCACACCAAACCCACCTGCATTAAATAAGGAGCAGATACATGTCAACACACACACACACACACACACACGTACAGAGGCAAGACGAAGAACAGCTCATTGTTATATCAAAGGACACTCTTCCAAAACACTTGCTTAAAAATGTAAATAAACAAAGACCTTCTGTGCGTGAAAAGACACATAGGACATAGACATATAAAATAGACATATAAATGTTTCCACACATCATTTTAAGATTCTGGCCTGTACCATTGAGGCGAAAATTATTTGAAAGTTATAGCCATAAACTGGTATTATAAAATGTTATACTATTTTCTCTAAAGAAAAAAAAAATCAATCTATCTATCTATGGGAAAAGGCTCTCATCCAATCAGATTCGAGAACCAGAAAGAACTGTTGTGTATATATATATATATATATATATATATATGTCAAAAAGAAAAAAAAGAACATAAAGTTACATAAAGCATGAACCCTGCCCACAATAATGATGATGATAATAATAATATATACAGTGCCTTGCGAATGTATTCATACCCCTTCATTTCTTTCACATTTTGTTATGTTGCTGCCTTATGTTAAACTGCTTTAAATAACTTTTTTTCCACACATCAATCTACACTCCATACACCATTAATGACAAAGCAAAAACAGTCAAAAAAAATTGTCACAACTTCGTAAATTTATTAAAAATAAAAAACTGAAATAAGTACATTGCGTAAGTATTCTAAATATTTATCTAAATATCTAAATAACTAAATATTTAGCTGAAGCACCTTAACAGCCTAAAGTCTTTTTTTGTTTGATGTGACAAGTTTTGCTCATCAGCATTTTGCAATCATCTGCCATTCTTCATCCCTGCTGCTGAAAAACAGCCCCACAGCGTGAGGCTGCTACCAGCACACTTTACTTTTGGGATGGTACTCTGCAGGTGATGAGCAGAGCTGGTTTCCTTCAAACATGATGCTTAGAATTGAGGTTCATCAGACCAGAGAATCCGGTTTCTCAGAGTCTGAGGGTCCTTAAGGTGCTTTTTTTGTAAATTCCAAGTGTGTTTTCATGTGTCTTAACTGAAGAGAGGATTGAGTTTGGCCACACCGCCATAAAGACTGGATTGGTGGAGTGTTGCAGCGATGTTTGTCCTTCTGTAGATTTCTCCTATCTCCACATATGATCTTGGTCACCATGCTAACCAAAGCCCTTCTCCATCAATTGCTCAGTTTGGCCAGGAGGCCAGCTCTAGGAAGAGTCCTGTTGTTTCAAACTTCTTCCATTAAGGGTAACAGAGACTACATGCTTCTGTGACCCTTCAATGAAGCAGAATTTTTTTCTGAACTCCTCCCCAGAGGTTAAATTCATTAAATTCATCAAACCGATTAAATTCATACTTTTCAAACTGTTTTTTAGATTACTGTTTACTGAAATGTAAACCTTTAAATCGTCATGTACTTTAAATCGTCATGTAAACCAGACATGTAAACTAGACAATTATTGCAAATTTGACTAACAAAACTGACTTAAGGGAGCAAATTAAATGTAACTAAAGTAGGATATGGTTCCTATAATAAATGGAGAATGAAATGAATGAATAACTTGAGGGTCCTGTGAGTCTCTGTGCCCAGCAGGTCTCTCTCTGAGCTTTACTATACCCCGCAGCTCCTGAGCGGCACAAACCCTTTCCGTCAGCGTCTGACTGACAGCTGCTGTAGGGGGTGGGTGTGATCAGCACGGCTACCTTTCAGAGATGTCAAGAATGAATGTTAAGACTCTGTGGTGTTTATGGTACCTGGTGGCAAAAGGATGAATAGCAGCTTCTAGAAACTTCCAGACAGACATTCACTGCCTTTATTTTTCCAAAAGACCTTCACACCACTCTCTCTCCCTATAACTCTTCACAGATAAATGCCCAGATGCCCACTGGTGCTTCATTTGACATTAAATGCTGCTTAGCAGCTACCAGCAAGATCCTAAAGCAGTTTGTGAATACTTTTTTTGATTAGTGACCAAGAAATAGTGAAGAATCTTGAAAATTTATTATTTGATATTATAGTTTCTCTTAATTTTATGTTATAACATTTATTGGTTTTAATTTGATCAAAATTCTAAAACTGTTTATTAAGTTTGATTTTGAATCACAAATTTTTCAATGTTCAGAATTTTATACCCCAATGTATATTGAAAAAGCATAATAATAATTCATAACAAATCCTACAAACAATCTTACGAAATCATTTGCAACATCTCATATACACCACAAAACAGTGAATCAGTTCTTCTCCAACACAAAATGTGTTCTGAGCACGTCAGAATGAATTAATTTCCTCATTTTTGTGTCTGATCTGGGTTGAAATGACAGGCAGTCTCACATCATTACATTACAGCACCAAATCATTTAAGCTTTCTTTCTGAATTACTGCCTCAACATGACCCACAAAACGTTAAAAGGTTGAAAACTTTCACATTCCCAGAGAGTTTAAAAACCCGTTGTCAGCAGCTGTGGTTGACTTGTCAGCAGTTATGGATTGAGGGAAAAAAATTTGACTGATGACGTGTGAATGTCTCTCTGCCCTTGTAAAAAAAAAAGTGCTTAATTGTACTGAATGTGCACTTGTAGTGCAAAGTACTACTTAAAGTACTTGCAGATAATATAATATTAATGAAATAAAAAATTAAGTGCAATTAAGTGTCACTTTCATGACTGTTTATTTAAACACTTTTGAAAAGTGTTAAAGAGTTTAAGAGTTTCACTGCAGAGGATGCAATGCTACATTTCTCCAGATCTATTCCATTGAACAAACAAACTCTTCTACATCTTTGATGGCCTGATGGTGAGCAAGTTTTCACTAAATCGTTCAGAAATTAAGTGTCTGAAAACATTACATTCAATTCACACCTAAGAATATTTTTTAAAAGTATAATATTTCCATAATAAGTACTGTTTTTTTTAAAGTATGCTAAAATGTACTTATTTTCACAAGGGTATGTAAGAAAGTCCATACATGTAAATGACCCACCTTGGATAAACAGCCTCTTCCAGAAGATTCTGCCCACATGGATCCCGCCCAGAAAAAGCAGATTGGACAGAATCAGAAAAGCAGTGGAGAGGGCGGAGATAAGTGCTAGGCCACGCCTCTGCATCCGAGGTGACAGACACCGCACATAACATGAGATCAAAAGAGATTGTTATTATTCATGACGTGTCATGTGGAATTTATTAGTGACCTTACATTGAACTTTATTTAATGCTGATAACTTGAGAGGAGAGGGTTTGTGTAAACTCACAATAACGTGATGAAGAGGACGAGAGGAGAAGAGGAGTGCGAGAACGTTCTCCACCAACACCCCAATCCAGTTCAGCAAGGCCCAGTACTGAAGGTAGTCATGGCAACCATGCCAGAAACACACAAACCCAAATGCAAGCGCCGTGGAGATGAGCTTCCGGAACACACCATGGCGAGAGCCACCCAATGGCACATATATGTACCTAACAACATACAAACACACATGCTCAGCAAAAAAAAAAAAGAACTAATGAACAATAATATGTGGAAAACAAGAGTTGCTGTTTTCTTTTAAAGGTGGGTTAAGCGATTTTTCAAAAACGCTTTAGAAAACTGATTCGGGCCAAATAGCAAAACAAACTTGTAGCCAATCAGCAGTAAGGGGCATGTCTACTCATGATGTGGAGGAGAGAGCGTTCAGTGCACAGGACTGACATTAGCAAGCCGAGCGACAGAAATATAGAGATGGTTGATAAAAAACAAAAGAGGAAAACGTTTGCGGAACAAACAAAGGCTTAAGGCAATAAGGCAAGAAGTAGGACCTGTGTAAATATCTAATCAGCTTTCCAGCGCTGGAGAGAACTCAAGGAGCAGAAGGCCTGCGATCGGACGCCGAGGTTGCTTTGTTTCTTCTCGATAGGTGAGTAACACCGTGTCTGCGCCGCAACAGCTAAAGTCTGTCTAGTACACTGGACGTGACAAAGCGACTGTTGAAAATCATTTGAAACGTGTGTCAATACATCATAAATAGAATGCAGCAGCAATTTTCTGTCGGGGATTTGTCGTGTCGTGCCGCATCCAGTGTAGACCATAGATAGGTATATACTGTATATCTATGGTGTAGACAGCATCACTGATTATAATGAGTTCTATAGTATTTTGTTGCGCTGAGCCACTCACGTCCGGTGTAGACACGGTGTAACATTGGTTTTGCTTTGTTTCACAGAACTAATCGTTGCCTAGGTTGCGTACATATGTGTGGGGCGGAGCTATCAAAATAGGGGCGAGACCCTTTTGGGGTAGGGCCGTGTTTGTTTTGGTGATTTCAAATGTCAACATTGGCTACCAGAAATCGCTTACCCCACCTTTAAGCTTCTAGCAAATTTGTGACAATTAACAATTAAATTGTTTTAATATTGAGATAATATTTTACATCCTCCAAACAAACTTTTTGCATTTTTACAATTGCATTAAGACATGGTTTATTAAGCCATTTCTATCATGTGGACCATGACTGTCTGTTAGTTAAATGTGTGAAAGAGAGAAAGAAGTGTCTTCAGACAACATACTGTCTGTAAAACGGCCACCGTTCACCTCACAGTGATAACAGACAGCAGAGAGAGAGAATTCTCAACTGAACTCGATCTCTCTCTACGGCAGTATGTTAGTTTCCATTTCAGGGCTGAGAGAGCACCAATCTGTTCTAATGAGGCGGTTGGGATAGTGGAGGACTTGACACATCTGTGTGTGTGAGGGAGATAGTGAAGAGGATAAGATTAGCCCCTGACCACAGCTCCAGCTGACAGCGTGTGTAGAGATTACGAAAAGAAGATCAACTGTGCTTTATTTTATCACACTTAAATCTCTGCTCTTCTATTTTTATTCTTTAACATTCATGTGTCTGTTTCTCCCCTATAGGATGCCTAATAGGATTGATGGGTTTTTGTGGATTCATTGATACGCTGACTGGTCTTACTGATGGTTTATTGATAGGGCTCATTAGGGCGCAATGTCATTTAATCAGAAAGAAGCAAAATTACGCTCTGAAAAATGTTCTAAACACCAGTAAAATGATCTAAACATCCTTAAAACAAGACACGCTTACTGTACTTGAAAAATGTTGTTGTCAAAGAATTTTTATTATTTTCCCCACTTTTTTTAACATGTACACTACCATTCAAAAGTTTGTGGTCTGGAAAAAATGTATAGTTTTATTTGGCAAGGATGCATTAAATTGATCAATGGTGCCTGTGCACATGTATGATGTTTTTAAGATTTAGGATCTTAGTTTTAAATGTATGTTCTTTTAATTCAGCTATGAGGTCACACCGTCATGCAACAATTTTCTATTGGTTACACATCTTCATGTGATATGAATTCGCTGGTTAAAGTTCACCAAACTTGAACTTTGGAACATAGCGAAATGTGAAACATGTGCATGTGTATCAGTAGAATCAGTAGAATCTAGAATCAGTAGATATATATAAATACAATTATTTATGCATAATATATATTGTTTATAGACATCTGAAAGAGTCGTATTTCTGCAACAGCGCTCACACACATTCTGTTTCACAAGCACTATCAATACACACGGGAAATGCAAATCTGCAATAAATAATATAACATGTTCCCCCAAACTTTACTAATATATTTAATAAAAAAATGTTTTTGCCATTGTGATCTCATAATCTTTATATACATTTTTCTACAAAAATACACAATTTAATATTTATTAGGCTTTCATGATAATTATGTTCTGTCACAAAAAAAGAGTGCAAGTAATCTTTCTGTTGTTAAACATCCCATTTGGACTTGATTTACAAATAAATTTCAGAATGAAACAATTATGATGTCAAACTCAAGCTAAATGCACTTACAACTCATTTAATGAATTCACTGGTTAAAGTTCACCAAACTTGAACTTTGGAACACAGCGAAATGTGAAACATGTGCATGTGTATCAGTAGAAGTCAATGGAACAGAAAGTGTAGTGTGACCGCCCCTTTAGACTTGTTGACAAAACTAAAAATTAAGAGTGTGAAGGCAAATGTGTCTCTGAGTTTGTACTTATTTCCCAATACATGTATATAACCCATCACTCTAAAAGCTCAAAAACCTGTGAATATCTGACAGTTAAAATCTTAAATCATCTGTTAGTCATATATCAATATAATATTTTAAAGTTTTGACATCATGCAACTGATTAGACTTGTCAGTAGGGTTGGATTGATACCAGAATATGAATTTGGTGTGATAGCTGCCTTTGGCACCTCGGCATTTTGACTAAATAAATACCTTGGACGACACCTAAACAGCAATGAGTGACTGATGAAATGAAACTTACAATTAATATTATGTTTATGCTTATACTTATGTGTGTGTGTGTGTGTGTGTGTATATATATATATATATATATAGGATAAGATTAGCCCCTGACCACAGCTCCAGCTGACAGCGTGTGTAGAGATTACGAAAAGAAGATCAACTGTGCTTTATTTTATCACACTTAAATCTCTGCTCTTCTATTTTTATTCTTTAACATTCATGTGTCTGTTTCTCCCCTATAGGATGCCTAATAGGATTGATGGGTTTTTGTGGATTCATTGATACGCTGACTGGTCTTACTGATGGTTTATTGATAGGGCTCATTAGGGCGCAATGTCATTTAATCAGAAAGAAGCAAAATTACGCTCTGAAAAATGTTCTAAACACCAGTAAAATGATCTAAACATCCTTAAAACAAGACACGCTTACTGTACTTGAAAAATGTTGTTGTCAAAGAATTTTTATTATTTTCCCCACTTTTTTTAACATGTACACTACCATTCAAAAGTTTGTGGTCTGGAAAAAATGTATAGTTTTATTTGGCAAGGATGCATTAAATTGATCAATGGTGCCTGTGCACATGTATGATGTTTTTAAGATTTAGGATCTTAGTTTTAAATGTATGTTCTTTTAATTCAGCTATGAGGTCACACCGTCATGCAACAATTTTCTATTGGTTACACATCTTCATGTGATATGAATTCGCTGGTTAAAGTTCACCAAACTTGAACTTTGGAACATAGCGAAATGTGAAACATGTGCATGTGTATCAGTAGAATCAGTAGAATCTAGAATCAGTAGATATATATAAATACAATTATTTATGCATAATATATATTGTTTATAGACATCTGAAAGAGTTGTATTTCTGCAACAGCGCTCACACACATTCTGTTTCACAAGCACTATCAATACACACGGGAAATGCAAATCTGCAATAAATAATATAACATGTTCCCCCAAACTTTACTAATATATTTAATAAAAAAATGTTTTTGCCATTGTGATCTCATAATCTTTATATACATTTTTCTACAAAAATACACAATTTAATATTTATTAGGCTTTCATGATAATTATGTTCTGTCACAAAAAAAGAGTGCAAGTAATCTTTCTGTTGTTAAACATCCCATTTGGACTTGATTTACAAATAAATTTCAGAATGAAACAATTATGATGTCAAACTCAGCTAAATGCACTTACAACCCATTTAATGAATCACATTAACTTTTAATTCATGTCACGCTTCCTGAACTGTAAGGTAGTGTAATCTGTAGTAACATGGTACATTTTTGGCACCATAGTACTTTTTTTAGTACAGATTTACCCTGCAATACTGGATCTTGCATTCGGCTTCATTTTCTTTTGTTAATGTACTTTTTAAAGCCCAAGCATAGATGTTGCCCTGCTGAAAAAAAGTGTTTGAGCACATTTTCATTAGGAACAGAAACAATAAGGTCTCGTTCTGCCTCTGTGGCCACCGCAGAATAATCTAAGCCCTCTCTCGCCCTTATAAAAGCTCATGAACTGCATCTGTGATTTGATTGTTGTGAGCACATTTCAATAGACAGAAGATGACACTCAACAGGCTGAAAGTGAGGCGTTCAAGCAGACAATAGCGCGACAGGAAGGGTGCGCGGCGTGTGTCTTGTGGATGCTTTAAGATCAGCGGTAGGGCTGTGCAATATATTGAAATTATCGAAATATCGCAAATGTACATATCGCAATATGCATATCGCTATGGCTTGCAATATTTGGGGCCATGAACAAAAGACAAAGAGAAAATCACTCACTGCTCTTACCTAAATAACTTTTGTAGCTTAAATCAAGAATCAGTGCATATTGAATACAAAGAGTAAATACTAAGCAGTGTTTTATTTTTCCTTTCTATTATTCAGTTCCTAAACGCATGTTAAAATGATTACACTTCATATCGCATATCGAATATCGCATTATTTAATGAGTTATCGCATATCGCATTTTTCTTCAATATCGCACAGCCCTCAGCGTTGAGCCACACGAACGGAGAGCGATGATCCTCTCCCACATCTCCACACTCCAAAACTCAGCTCTTCACAATTACTGCACATTTAAAAGCACATTAAGATCTCTCCAAATGCACTTTACAACACGCGCTCTCACACACACACACACA